AAAACATTGTTTCTTCTCTATACCTTTACAAGAAAGAGATAAGAAAAAATTTGCCTTCATGGTGCCTAATTACAATAATTCTCAGCCAGTCAAGAGATATCAGTGGAAGGTCTTGCCACAGGGAATGTTAAATAGCCCCACACTGTGCCAATATTCTGTGCAAAACCCGTTGGAAATAATTCATAAACAGTTCCCACAATCTATAATTTACCATTATATGGATGATATATTGGCTGATTTTAAGGCAGAGATATTAGAAAAAATGTTTGAGGAAGTAAAGGAAATTTTACCTCACCAGGGATTACAAATTGCCCCTGAAAAAATTCAAAGATGAGATTCTATCAATTATTTAGGATATAAAAATAGGTCTACAGAAAATAAAACCACAAAAAGTGCAGATCAGGAGAGATCGATATCAGATTCTTAATAACCTTCAAAAATTCCTAGGAGAGATTCTAGCTACAGACTATTATTGGGGTAGGAGGACATGATCTAAAAAAAAAGTTGAAAATGGCCCTAAAAGGGGACAAGGACTTAAATAGTTGAAGAATATTATCAGCTGAAGCTAAAAAGGAATTAGAATGTGTAGAAAAGAGAATTCTAGAAGCACATGTGAACTGTGTGGATCCAAAGCTCTACTGCGTTTTGGTCATATTACAATCTAGAGAATACCCTCCAGGGATTTTGATGCAGAGGGAAGATATAATATTAGAATGGATATTTCTACCACATAAACAGAATAAAAATTAAAAACTTATATAGAAACAATTTCTGATTTGATTTAAAAAGGAAAATTAGATTTCATCAACTGACAGGAAGGGACCCTGCAGAAATTATAGTACCTTTAACTAATGAGGAAATTTCCTCCTTATGGAAAGAATGAATATTGGCAAAGAGCTTGCAGTAACTTTTTGGGAATGATTAGCAACAATTATTCCAAAAATGAGAGAATAAAATTCGTAAAGAAAAACATTTGGATCCTTCCAGGCATTGTAAGGCAAACACCAATCTCTGGAGTCCCTACATTCTACACTGATGCAAACAAATCAGGTAAGGCAGGATATAAATCAGGAAATATAGGCAAAGCAGTTCAAAGCCCTTATAACTCTGTACAAAAGGCAGAATTGTATGCCATTCTCATGGTACTTAGGAATGTTACAGAATCTCTCAATATAGTTACCGACTTTCAATATGCAGAGAGAGTCGTCTTACACATTGAGACTGCTGAATTTATTTCTGATGATACAAAATTAACTTCATTGTTTATACAATTACAAGAAATTATCAGGAACAGGACTTATCCTATATATACAACACACATCAGATCCCATATGGGTCTGCCAGGTCCTCTAGCACGAGGCAATGATGATATTGATCAGTTATTGATAGGAAGTGTGCTGGAGGCCTTGGAATTTCATAAAAAACACCATGTGAATAGCAAAGATTTAAAAAGGGATTTTTCCATAATTTGGTAACAAGCTAAGGAAATAGTAAGAAAATGCCCTACTTGTTCCTTCTATAACCGAACTCCTTTACCAGCAGGTTGTAACCCTAAAGGTATTTATAGAAATGAAATTTGGCAAGTGAATGTGTTGCACTTTGCATAATTTGAAAAATTCTGTATGTGCACCATACAACAGACACATTTTCAGGGTTTCAATGGGCAACTGCTCTGAGCTCTGAAAAGGCTGGTTCTGTTATTACACACCTCTTAGAGGTAATGGTTATTGTGGGTATACCTGCACAAATAAAAACTGACAATGCTCCAGCACACATCTTCAGTAAATTGAAATGTTTTTTTAAAATTATCATAAGATAACCATGTTACTGGTATACCACACAATCCTACAAGACAAGCAGTGGTTGAGAGATCTAATCACATTTTAAAGGAGATGCTCTATAAACAGGCAGGGGGAGCCAAGACCCTCCCAAACAGATTACATAATGCTTTACTAACCTTAAACTTGCTTAATGCTAATGAGAAAGGAAAAACAGCCACAGAAACGCATTGAACAATAGAAAATGCTTCTGAGCTAAATCAGCAGGTATACTTCAAGGATGTATTGACCTCAGTATGGAAACCAGGATATGTGTTACATTGAGGTAAGGGTTTCACTTTTGTTTATATAAGAGAAGAAAAGCTTTGGATACTATCAAAGTTGATCAAGATCCAATTTGAATAGGATAAACGTCTAGATACGGAGAAAAAAATAGGTCATCCACCAAGGTATATCCCACAAGTTGTATAGAGACTTCACAAAGGTAGGGGGAGTGTTCTGTTCTTTTCTTTACAGGAAAACAGAAAACACCCATCTTCAAGAAGCTCAAAGACTTTGGACTTGTAGATGCCTAAAGAAGAAAGGATAGCTATCTAGAAAAAACCATCAAACAAAGACTGGTTTAGGACCATGCTGCTCTAGACAATTCCAGACTAGCTAGCTAAAATGATGTACCTTTTTATAACACTCTGGGCAGAGCTTCAGATAAGAACTTCAGTCAAGCATCTCCTGCCACTCAGAGACTAACTACAAATGTTACAACTAGTCCTCTCGACTTTCCATTGCTTTATTTATTTATTTATTTATTTATTTATTTATTTATTTATTTTTCCTACAGGATTTCTCTGAGTCCAAGGCCACCCAGGGATGCATGAGATTGAATCAGTCTAAAAGAGTAACAGATCCACACCTATAATCCCAGCAATCAGGGTGTTCAGGATTCAGTATGAGAGACTCATTCTCCAGCCACATTGAGGAGAGGTAACAGTTTGAGACTTGGTGAAGAGCTCATGTATGCATCAGTCTTTTCAGCCTGAGCTAGAGGTAAGAGATGGTGGCCAGCAGCTTTGTTTCCCTGATCTTCAGCTTGAAGTTTGAACCCCAATATCTGTCTCTGGCTCATTTATTAATCCATGTTACAAAGAGGAGGAGGTATTTGGGAAGAATTAGGGAAGAAGAATGACTATGATCAAAACACATTGTTTAAACTTCTCAAATAATGTTTTTAAAAAAGTGAATAAGAACATTAAACATAAATCTTTTGAACTGTAGGAACGGTCCAGTTAGGGCAAGATGCCACTCATCAAAGGTTCTAAATAGAGAAACCAGAAATTGATTTCAAGTGAGTACATCTAAACTGAGGATGTCACCAAGAGGATCCCAAGCTTAACAGAAACTACCAAGGAAAGTGTCATCTTATGTAGCCTCCACTAAGGTGCAGAGACACGTAGAGTGTAATGACAGGGGGCAGATCATGCTGGCCACTGATCTAGTCAAGCACTGCCTACATGGTATAAGATTTTCAGATTGCAAAATGCAAGAATAAGAGTGGCATGCAGGTTTGCACGAAGATTTCTGTGAGCCGGTGGATAAACGTTGTGTGGCTGGGTATGGTTTCCTGTGAGGAGGCCCATGAGAAGTCCATACACACACACACACACACACACACTGTGAAGGGGAGGCCTACATTGCAGTTTTCACTCCGTTTATGCAGTTTTTAGCATTACAGTAACAAATGGATGCCACATACTTGCTTTAGTCTACACTAAGAGTAAATACACGAAGGAAACAAAAACGGTGAGATGTGATCTGCTGAAGCAGAGGGGACGAAGGTTGGATAGCTTAGGGTGGAGCTTGGCAGAGTGGAGTGCAGAGTGGAAAGAAAATCTGGGGAAGAAAGACTGGAGGCTGAGTTGCACCAGACAATGGATGGGCACAGGGTCTTTCATGTCCTCAGGGCCCAGAAAAAATGTTGAGCAGAGAGGTGGATTTCCAAATTGTTATTCGTATAGAAATCTTCCACCAGGAACCACCTGCAAGCTGACTTAGTTTCTACACTGGTGCCACATCATATGAGCTGCATATCCAGGAGGCAGCACAGTGGGGATATGGGTTAGCACAAAATAGTACTGGAAAGCAAGTCACTTAGTCATTTGAGTGGAGGTCACTTAAAACTGAAAATCGAGAGTCGCTCATTAGAGGTGAACAGCATTTATTGTGCTTCATTCTATTAAAGATGGCGGAGAGGCAATCACATTGCCTAGGAAGAACTTTCTAGTGCTTTAGCCCAAGAAGAGAACCCCACTTGGGGGCCATGATGGCTGAGGGTCTCAGGGTTCTGGGTCTGGCCCAGGTGATGGCATGGGTGGGATGGGCACAGGCCTCCAGGGAGGGGACTGCGGGAACTCAGTGAGATGCTTGTGGCTTCTCCACAGGCACTTCCTGTGTCACTGGGCAGGCCTGTGTGACACAACCCTCAGTAGCCACCTGGTGTCACACTTTGCAAGTTCTAAGCTGTCCCCTGCTCTAGTCAGAGAAGAAGGCAGACTGTGGACAGTGTGGCTGCCCTGACACCCAGGCTGAGGTAAGAGGTGCTGGCCGCACAGCTCCTCCTCAGCCTGCATCAAGGTGAGAAGGAGCTCCTGGGCTGGGCGTTCTCCATGCCTGTCCTGGAAATACAGGTCGACATCGTCCCACCTCTGAACTGGGGGCGAAACTGTGACGTGAATGTTCTTGGCTCCCTGGTGTGGACCACTCTGCACAGAGACACAAATGACAAGATGGAGCAAAGAAAGGGACAGACCACACCCACAGAGCTGGGCGTGGTCTTCACGGGGCTGGCTCATCCTGAAAACCCTTAGACTTCTGTTGTCTCTGCAATGATGGAATGAGAAGAGCACAGTGGTGACACCGGGTGAGGGTGACGCCTCAGAGTGACCGAGCCTTCCCCACCTGCCCCATCCCTTCCACAGACTGCACTGAGGTAGAAGGGATGCTGACCTCCCCCTTCCCATCACTGGACAGAAACCACTGTGCTGAAAGGCAGGAGCATGAAGTAGGAAGCAGCTCCTATCTGAGAAGGAGCCATTAGCCACACAGGATGAGCTTCAGGAGGAAGATTTTCTTTGCAGGAAAACAAAAACAACCTTTATTACAAGTAAAGCATGAGGGAACAAAGGCTGGGTGAGGAGATAGCTTTTGGAAGGCCTCTTGCTCCTTGGCCTATGCTGGTAAGGTCCACTTGGGGTGAGCAGCTCTCTGGGCAGCAGATGACTGCTCCTTGTCTCCAGTTCCCCTGAATGTGACTGGATGGCTGTTCTCTTTGGGGCTGATGAGGTGGCCACAGCCCATTCCTTTCTTTGTACTTTGGTGTCGGTCAGAGGCTCTATGTTTGTCTCCAGCATCTCTGTGCCTAAATAGACAGTAGTGTCCCTTGGGGCTGGTGTGTGGACAGCAGCCCATTCTACTCTTCATTATGATTTGATGTGGGTCACAGGCTCTCTGGGTAGCAACATGTGACTGCTGCTTGTCTCCAGCTCCCCGGTGCCTACACAGATGGTTGTTCCCCCTTGGAAGTGGGGACTTGGTCAATGCCCATTCTTCTCCTCCCTCTGTTCTGATGTCGATGACAGGCTCTCTGGGCACCAACAACCAACTGGTGCTTATCTCTGATCCCCTTGTGTGTGAATGGATAGCTGTAACTCTTGGGGCTGGTGTGGTCAGAGCTCATTCTTCTTGCTGGTCTTCTATCCTTTGGGTCGTAGAGACCCTCAGAAGAGTGGTGAGAGCCACCCACCTGGGATGTCAGTGGTTCCAGTCTATGCCATTGTGCCTCTGATGGGTCCCCTACTTTAAGTCCCAGCCAGTTCACCAGGATCTGTACGACAACATTCATGAGAGACTGCACTTCAGTGGCCATACTGTAGACCAGCTTCTCTCTTGTGACTGACTCCTGAGACCTCACGGTAGCCGGTGGAGAGCGTTCATTCTCCAGGGCGTCCCTGGAGAATATGTTGAGGTTGAGATATTGTAGAACATGCCTTATGATTTTCTTCAGATAGCTTTCCAGGGAATCCTGTCCTTTTCCTGTCATATAAAGGGAGGACTCACTCCCAGTCGTGGCTATATTCTTGAGCTGGGTGGAGCTTGGAGTACAGGGCTTCCCTCTCCTTGACCTTTTTCCCTGGCATGTGGCTCTAGATCTATTAAACCTCTTCCTCTCATCATTGGGATGAAACACCTTGTGATTCTTAGCTTGACTTTTGTCCTTGGTAGCTCTGAAGTACTGGGTCTCCTGGCTCTGATCTCTCCTCTTGAAGACATCATCTAGGCCGTGGGAAGTCTTGAGTATTTTGGATCTATGTTGAAAGCTAGGAAGTGAGTTCTCTGAAGACAAACTCATTTCACTGGGGATGTCTGGACGATGGTCCAGAGGCGAGGCCTGTGGCTGCTTGCTTGATCTGAAGTCAACCTTACTACATATTTGCACTTTTAAAGCCAAGTCTCCTGAGTACTGTGGAGTAGGAGTTTGGAGCTGGCCTGGGCTTCTGTTGGCCTCTGTAGACTTAAAGTCCCTGAGATGGATATTGATGGTTTGGCCATTGAGAATTTCTGTGGATCCCAAAGTCACTTTCCAGACAGGATGTGTCTCTTCTTTCTCCTCTGATCTATTAGTTTGTTTGACCCCTTCTTGAGGGCCGGGCATTGTCCCTCTCCAGCAGGGACGTCCTGAGGCCACATTCTCAAACCTCTTCCATGGAGCATGCTTGGGCATTCTTGGGCTGCTACTTGGGTGCAGGCTGCCTCTTCCAGTCCCTCGGACAGTCCTACTTGGCTGCGTTCTTCCCTGGAAGCAGAAAGCCCTGGTCTGAGAGCTCAGGTATCTTTGCCGTTTAACTGGATGGGCCTTGAAGGGTCCATGGCTGGCAGGTGGTGGAGTGGCTCTTTGCATCTCCTGCACCTCTGAAGGTGGGTGTGCAAACAGAGGACTCTCCAGCCTGGCACCTGACGCAGTTTCTAACCTTGTCCCTCCTGGATCTTGTTGATGCAATTTTTCTAAGATCATGGCAGCCTTGGAATAGTATTCAGCTTTAGAACCACAGGTGGATGAGGAGGGATATATAATCTGGGGAAGGGATGAACCTGGAGCCCTAGATGGGGTAAGATCTATTGACTCAAGGGTATGTAGATAAGGTTCCCACCTGCGTTTCTCAGAAAGCTGCGTGATGTTTGATTCCAGTTTCCTTTGGATTTTAGGGTCAAGGAAGGAAAGGTCCTGGGTGGTGTTCACATAGGACCGCTGATCTGTTCTCAGTGCAGGGTTTCTAGGCTCTAGACCCTTCCCAGGGCTGCTGATAGAAGTGCCAGGCAAGTCTTTGGCCCTAAAACTGGGGCCCTCCTTGATGGAGTCATACATGATTCGTTTTTCTGGACCCTCTTTTAAGGGCATCCTCCAGGGCACAGACCCCATCATCTGGCTCAACTTGGAACTTTTCGAGCCGAGGATGGAGGGCTGGTCAGGCTGGGGGAGGTCAGGCTTGTCCTCGGGCTGGGAAGGGCTGTGTGCTGGGAAATGTCCCTGCAGCTGTGTCAGTTCCTGGGATGGGAGGAGCCTGGATGGGGAGCCTTGCTGTTCTGTCACCATAGTCATCCTGTCTTCAGTCTGTGTCTCCTCATGATGCTGGAGGAACTGGTAATGCTCTGAAAGGATGGAGGCTGACCGGATAGCTTCAGTGGGCAGGGTGTCCCTGGTGAAGTTGTGAGTGGGCTGGCTAATGTCTGCTTGACGTGTTTGGACATTGGAGCCTATGGTGTCTTTCCACTCTAGATCCTGCTGCCAGGGCTGGTTTTCAGTCAGGAGGGTTGCCTGTATCCCTCTCTCACTGGTAGAACCTGCTTTTACATGGGTTCTCCTTGAAGATGACGAAAGTGCTTGGTTTGGTGTAGAGCTTGGGAGGTTGTCCAGTGTCTGAGCCTCTGTCACACCTGCCAAGCTTGGTGTCTCAAGTTGGTGGGGCAATGGCTGAGCCTGAGAATCCTGGGGAGGGCCTTGAGCCATGGGTAGAGCTGGGAAAGTGCCACAAGAATCGCTGAACCTGACAGTTTTAGGTCGTGCAGAGGAAGGTCTCTTGGAGACCCAGGCAGCAGCCACCACTGACTCAGAGAGCATGGAGGACATGCCCCCGAAAATCTGGCTAAATTTCTGCTGCATAAGATCTTCCAAGAACTTGAGATAAGATAGCAGCGGAGAGAGGGGAAGAGGCTTCTCAGTAGGATTCCAAAAGGGATGTGGTGTGGGGTCCAGTAAAGGATGCTTGGTGGGGCTGCAGAAGACAGGAGGCAAAACCATCAGTCCCAGCAGAGGGTCAAGAGGCCCATCAGGCTGTATAAACATGAAACTGTGTCCCATGGTCCCTGCACGGCCTCCACCGCCCATATTCTTTATCCAACAGGACTGTATCCCAATCCCACCCTATATAGACTCTCCAGTACAATGATCCCCTGAGCCTGAGTGCATATCCTGCCATAAATATTTCTACAAGACAGAGATTTCTTACCTTTTCACAGGTTGGGATGCATTCTGGGTATCTTCCACATTCTCTCTGCTGTCTCTACAACCTGGAAATAATTGTGCATAATAAGCAAAAGGATTGAGAGCTCTCAGGAGAGTGAGGCTCCTCTCTTAAAGATCACCCATGCCAGAACTCTAATACCCAACCACCAGAGTCCAAGCACACAGAATGATGAAAATGAGGCATGGAGGGACCACACCTCCTCATCCATACTTTCCTTGCTCCTCCCTCAGCCCCTGTCATCCCATCCAGCACTGTGAGGGACACAGGATCAGTCATCTGAAAGAGGAGTGGGCCTGAGGGAATTGCAGCCCCCTGTTCTCAGGTGGACCTGGGTCCCCCATGCACAGTCACAACATCCCTCCTCTGCCTTGAACCACACCCCATGGGCAGCACCCACCCCAGGCCAAGCACAGCTTCAGTCCATCACAGAACCTGGGGATTCCCCTGATTCTGATTTCCTTCCCAGCAGCCTCCTCTTCCTTATTGGTGCTCTGCATCCTGTATCCTCAGAAGTGTGGCTGTCATCATGGCTCTCATCACTGAGGGGCAGGACAGATGGATTTGCCTCTCCAGAGGAAAGCAGAAGCCTACCTTTCGCAGAAGCAGCTTTCTTCCTGGTCTTGCTCTGTCCCCTCCTCACCTGACAGTGAGAAAGGACAACATGAGCTGGGCCCATTCCCCCTCTAGTGGACAAGCTGCCTGCCCTGCCCTCTGTGCCCATGGGTAACAGGAAATGCACATTTCCCAGAGAGCTGTCTCTCTTCCATCCTTGACTCAGTTGCTCTGTGCATAGACACATTTCCTTTTGGAAAGCACAAGCAGAGCTGTCTGTGACACACTTACATGGTGTCCTCAGTCAGTGTTCCTCAGACAGGATCCCACCCAAGGCTGAGCTCTGCTGCCGCCTCTGTGCTGTCAGCCAAGATCTGCTTTCTCTGACCAGAGGTGACAAGGTCTGATCTGAGGCCTTTGGTCCCATCACCCTCCAGCCCCCCAACCGCTCAACAGAAACAAAAGCATGTACCTGAGCAGAGGACACATGACTGCTCTCTCAGAGCCTGTCCTGTCCCAGAGGTCCCCACCATCTCAGAAATGCAGTCTGTCCACAGAACCATAGTCTTCCTTAGTGGCATTCTGCCACACCACACAGCATGTCTGAGAGCTGCATGCACACATCTCAAGGCCACTGTCCCCTCTGCCCTACTTTCCAGCCCCTGCAGATGAGATGCTGTTCTCGCTGGAGATTTCCTCTCACCCGTCTCTACTTGTCTAGCACATGGGAAAGTAGCAGCAGGAACAGCAGACTGAACACATTCCATTGTGTTCCAACCAAGGTTCTCCTCACCTTTGCGGTGTTCTCTTCACTCCCAGGTGGTGGGGACACTGGGTATGTCTTCAGGAAGGGGATTAGTAGAAAGAAGAGCCCTACTCCACACAGAACACCAAAGATCACGTCCATGGGTATGAAAATGGAGCTGGGGCTCATCCATGAGTCACTGATGCTCATCAGCTGGAGGAGAGAAGTCTCCATCTTCTGACTCCCATTGCAGCTCTCAAGCCACTGATTCTTGGGAGCACAGCATGATGCTGTCAAGAGGGCTCAGGCCCACATCACACAGCTGTGGCCTCCTCATCACAAAGGGCTCCTGGCAGGAGGGAGGGAGCCACAACCCCTCCCCAGTCTACAGCCCAGCAGACTCTCCTGCCTCCTGTGTTTTCCTGCTCCCTCCTTCCAAGTCCTTCTTCTGAAGCAGTGAGAGATAGAGCTTCCTCCATGTTTTGTGTCTTCCCCCCTGAGCCCCAGAATTTCTCTGTCTCCTGGAAGATGTCTGCTTGAGTCCATCAGGTTCATTGTTTCTGACACATTGGGCTTCTTTGTGGGACTTGAGTTGTGACTCAAGGATTTTTAATGTCTGTGTGTCTTCTGCCTTCAAATCCCTGTCTGCTCATTATGAGGCCATTCCTTGCCTCAACTCAGACATGGAACTTCCTTTTGTCTCACACTTACTTAGCTTTGCCAATTTGCAACATAGTGCAAATGAATATCATTTTAATTTACTAACTTCAGTGAATAGAATGTCAATGAAAAATGAAATTCAGTACTCTATCATAAGAATGTATGTGGTGATCCCCCATTGCTGGGCCTCTGATAAAGAGGCCTCAGCTAGATGATCTGCCTATTGTCTCGGGAGCATCCTGATTCCCAGCCTGTAGTCATCTTTGACCCCCATCACCAGGCCTCTGCTACAGGTGAATCTGGGTCCAATTTGGGTTGAATACCCCCCCACACACACACACACCCTTCCCTGGGAACTCCCTGGATTGGCCCTGGATCTCGCTCCCCGTGTCCTGTCCCCAGAGAGAGCTCTCCTGGTGATCTGATACAACCCACCCACCCCCACCAACAGCCTGCCCACCCCACTACCCTGTGCCCTACCCTGCCCACTGTCCCAACACTCTGGTTGAGCACTGGGACAGAGGGTGGAGCCAACAATCCTGCCACCTTCTGGGAACTTCCTGGAGCTGCTCTGAGCACACTAGACCTGTCTATCCATGTGGGACTACCAGGAATCCTCACCTGCCTGGTCTCTGACCCCCAATGCTGGTCCTCTACTGGAGTTCCAGGCCCCTTCCAGAGATCTTCCTATCTCCTCAGGGCCATCCTGAATCCCTGCGGGCTGGATCCTTGATCCCCATTGATGGGCCTCTGCTAAAGAGGCCTCAGCTGGAGAGTACCAAGCCCTGGCTAGATCCGCCTATCTGCACGGGAACATCCTGAGTCCCAGCCTGCTGGACCTTTAACACCCATCTCCGGTCCTCTGCTGGAGCCTGATCTTTGGCCCCCATCGCAGGGCCCCTGACTGAGCTCCTAAAGGGCTTGGACCACCCAGAGCTACAGACATCAAACTTCTGACCCACCTAAGCCCACTGGGTGAGTACCATAGAGAAAGAGAGACCCCCACCTGCACCTACTGGAAGAAGCTATGGGAAGATGGCAATACAAGAAAACACCTAACAGTAGAAAGACAAGCATAACACCACCAGAATCTAGGGACTCTACACCAACTAGACCTGAACACCCCAGATGAAACAGAAAGGAACGACTTAAAAAATGTCGTCATAAAAATGATAGAGGCCTTCAAAGACAATGTGAGAAAATCCCTTAAAGAAATGGAAGATAAACCTAACAAAAAATTGGAAGAAATGAACACATGTCTTAAAGAAGGTATGGAAAGCCAAGAAAAAACAATTAAACAGGTAATGGAAATGGTTCAAGACTTGAAAACTGAAATAGAGAAAATAAAGAAAACACAAACTGAAGGAATGCTGGAAATAGAAAAACAGGGCAAATGATTGGGAACTACAGACATAAGCATAACCAACAGAGTACAAGAGATGGAAGAGAGAATCTCAGGCACTGAAGATAAACTAGAGGAAATAGGTTCATCGACCAAAGAAAATCGTAAATCTAACAAATCCTTAACACAAAACATCCAGGAAATGTGGCAAAGGCCAAACCTAAGAATAATAGGCATAGAGGAAGGTGAATCCTAGCTCAAAGGTGCAGAAAACATATTCAACAAAATCATTAAAGATAACTTTCCCAATCTGAAGAAGGACATGCCCATGAAAGTACAAGAAGCATACTGAACACCAAATAGACTGGACCAAAGAAAAAAGACCCCTCAATACAAATAATCAAAACACCAAACATACAGAATAAAGAAAGAATATTAAGAGCAGCAAAGGGGAAAAAAAGCCAGGTAACATATAAAGGCAGACCTATCAAAATTACACCTGACTTCTTCATGGAACCTCTCAAGGCCAGAAGGTCCTAGATAGATGTTCTACAAGTACTAAGAGTCCATGGATGCCAGCCCAGGCTACTATACCCAGCAAAACTCTCAATCACTATAGATGGAGAAAACAAGATATTTAATGACAAAGCCAGATTTTCACAATATGTATCTTCAAATCCAGCCCTACAGAAAGTTCTGGAAGGAAAACTCCAACTCAAGGAAGTTAACTATGCTCACAAAGACATAGTCAATAGATAAGCCCACTTCACTAGAACCCAAGGGTAAAGCAGGACAAATACATTCGCAATACCACCACCACCAACAAATCTAAAACAAGCATTAACAATCAATGGTCCTTAGTTTCCCTCAACATTAATGGTCTTAACTCACCTATAAAAAAACACAGGCTAAGAGAATGGATACGAAGACAGAATTCACCCTTCTGCTGAATACAAGAAACACATCTAAGCTTCAAAGATAGACATTACCTCAGGGTAAAGGGCTGGGAAAAGATCTTCCAATCAAATGGACCCAAGAAGCAAGCAGGTGTGGCTATACTAATGTCTAACAAGGTAGATTTCAAACCAAAATTAATCAAAAGAGATAAAGACTGTCATTTTATATTCATCACAGTAGAAATCCATCAGCATAAAGTCTCAATTCTGAACATCTATGCCCCAGATACAAAGGCACACACATTGGTAAAAAGAAACGCTACTAAAACTCAAAGCTCACATAAAACCTCACACACTTATAGTGGGAGACTTCAACACTCCACTCTCACTACTAGACAGGACCACCAGTCAGAAAATTAACAAAGAAACAAAAGAACTAACCGTAGTTATGTCTCAACTGGGTTTGACAGACATCTACAGAACATTCCATCTACACATAAAAGAATATACCTTCTTCTCTGCTCTACATGGAACCTTCTCTAAAATCAACCACATACTAGGTGACATAACAAACCTCAACAGATACAAAATAGTATCTTATCCCCTGTATCTTATCAGACCACCATGCTGTAAGGTTGGAATTCAACAACCACACAAATCGCAGAAACCCTACAAACTCATGAAAACTGAACAATGCGCAATTGAACCATACCTGGGTCAAAGAAGAAGTAAAGAAAGAAATTAAGGACTTCCTAAAATTCAGCAAGAATGAGGACACAACATACCCGGACTCATGGGACACCTTGAAAGCAATGCTATGAGGGAAGATCATTGCACTAAGTGCCCATATGAAGAAAATGGAGGATAGTCACATTAGAGAATTAACAGCACAACTGAAAGCATTAGAACAAAAAGAAGCAAACTCACCCCAAAGAAATAGACACCAGAAAATAATCAATTTGAGGCTGAAGTAAATAAAGTAAAAACCACGAAAACAATACAAAAAAAAAAAATCAATGCAACAAAGTGTTGGTTTTTAGAGAAAATCAACAAGATAAACAAACTTTTATCCCAACTAACGAAAAAGCAGAGAGAACATGCAATTAACAAAATCAGAAATGAAAAGGGGAACATAAAAATGGACACAGAGGAAATACAGACAATTTTCAGGTCATACTTTGAAAACCTGTACTCCACAAAATTTGAAAAGTCAAAGGAAATGGAGAAATTTCTGGATAACTATCACTTACCAAAATTAAATCAAGAACAGACAAACAACTTAAATAGACCTATAACCCCTAACGAGTCATCAAAAATCTTTCAACAAACAAACAAACAAACAAACAAAAAAAAAAAAAAGCCCAGGGCCAGATGGCTTCAGTGCAGAATTCTACCAGAAATTCAAGGAAGAGCTAATACCAATACTCCTCAAATTGTTCCACACAATTGTTCATTGCCAAACTCTTTTTATGAGGCCACAATCACCTTGGTACCAAAGCCACACAAAGACACAACTAAGAAAGAAAACTACAGACCAATATCCCTCATGAACATTGATGCAAAAATACTCAATAAAATACTGGAAAACTGAATCCAAGAATACATTGGAGAAACCATCCATCATGACCAAGTAGGCTTCATCCCTGGATTGCAGGGATGGTTTAACATACAAAAAAAAAAAAAAAAAAATCTATCAATGTGATCCACCATATAAACAAACTGAAAAAGAAAAACCACATGATCATCTCCCTAGAATCCAAAAAAGCCTTTGACAAAATTCAACACCCTTTCATGATAAAGGTCTTGGAGAGATCATGGTTAACAGAAACATACATAAACATAATAAGAGCAATATACTGTAAACCAACAGCCAACATCAAATGGAATGGAGAAAAGCTTAAGGCGATTCCTCTAAAATCAGGAACAAGACAAGGCTGCCCTCTCTCCATATCTCTTCAATATTATACTTGAAGTTCTAGCTAATGCAATAAGACAAAAGGAGATCAAGGGGATCCAAATTGGAAAGGAAGAAGTCAAACTTTCTCTATTTGCAGATGATATGATAGTTTACATAAGTGACCCAAAAAACTCTACCAGGGAACTCCTACAGCTGGTCAACACCTTTAGCAAACTAGCAGGATACAAGACAAACTCAAAAAAGTCAGTAGCCCTATTTTATTCAGATGACAAAGGGGCTGAGAAAGAAATCAGAGAAACATCACCATTTACAATAGCCACAAGCAACAAAGTATCTTGGGGTAACACTTACAAAACAAGTGAAAGACCTATATAGTAAGAAGGTTGTGGCTCTAAGAAAGAAATTAAAGAAGATACCA